ACCTTTGGGGACCTTTTGAAGTTTTTAGTTCAAGACATGTTAACGTTAATCAAGATTAGAAAATTTTAATTAGTATGAAACCCTAGTGTTACTATTAGTAGGGCAGGCAGCTTAAAATCAAAATTGTGCAGCCTGTGATCTTCAAAGGAGTATCATTCTTGAATTTGTTGAGAATTTGCTCTTTAAGACTGGCTGGAACACCCAGGGAGAAAATTTGGTCAAACCTTCATAGGTCACCATTTCTTGCCATGTTCCTAAAGCAATTGTGTGAAATTCCGTTTGGAGTTTCTAACCCCAATCCTTTACCAAGGGACCAATTAATCATAGTTTTGAAGAATATGAGTTGGAAAGTTCCTGATTTAAATATCAGTTTATTGGATAATACGACCAAGCTGGAAATTCAACTGGAGATTCACAATGTAATTCTAATTGGGTATTTTGTTTCCATTATATCAGGAAATGCAAAGATGGGAAGTTGCAACTGGGAATAGAGCGTATTATCAGGACAGATCCAGTATGGTTTAAAATTAGAGTTTTAAATTTCATTTTGTTGTAGATGTCTAAGGCTGCTTTTTAAGTGAAAGGAAACCCTCAGGAGATGGTTGCATACATTTACCATTTCCTTTAGTGAAAGCACAAGAAAACACATAATATTTGGCAGAACTAAGAGGGCACAAAATTCAAATATGCTTCAGAAAACAGATTTTATTTGCAGTCTTTCAATATTTTGTAGGAGACCTGTACTGTTAATTTGTCACTTTGAAAATGGGAAATGAAAAGTATCATTATAAAGCCTCAGACCCCAGATTTTTTTTAAGTAGTTCTATTTAGATCTTTTTGGGTGTCTTAGATTGTGGTGTCTTTATTTTTTCTTGCTCCAATCTTCCCAAATATTGATCCAGTGTGCTGTTCTAAATGGAGCAATGACTTCATTCACACAAACTGAATTGAGCATCAAGTTGAGTCTGCGTGTTTGATAAGAATATCCCAAGGACCTCCTCCAGTTGATGGAAAGAGGTCATGGACCAGATGGCTGGCCTTTTCTGTTGTAGTTCTTGTATTTTGGAACTCTTGTTCCCCAAAGGTTCACTCAGCATTTCCCCCCTCCTGGAATTTCATAAAACAACATTATTGTATGGTTTTAACTAGAAAATTTTGGGTTTGTGGGTGGCATTGGCTAGGGCTCTTAACCCAAACTATGGTTAAGATACATCAATGACACATTTGTTATTTGGCCCCATGGAAAAGAAAGCCTAAACAATTTCCTAACACACCTAAACAGCACACACCCCAAAATCAAATTCACCATGGAAACGGAAACAAACAAACAACTACCATTCCTAGATGTACTAATCTACAAAAAAAAAAAAAAAACAGATGGCACACTAGGACACACCATATACCAGAAGAAAACACACACCAACTGCTACCTTAGTGCCCAATCCCACCATCACCCAGCACAGATAAACTCTGTGGCCAAAACACTAATTGCCAGAATGAAACGCCAGGCAGACAAGACATACATAAAGACTGAACTATGCACCCTGACTAAAGTACTGACAGTCAACAGCTTCCACAAAAGCAAAATCACTGGCCTGATCCACAAAAACACACTGAGACATAATGGAGACCTAGAAAATGAACAGACCTATGGAACAGCTGTCCTGCCCTACATAAGAGGTAGTACAGACAAAATCAGTAAGATACTACACAGGCATCACATCAAGACTGCCTTCAAAACAGACAGAAAAATAGCAGCCATCCTTAGAAACCCCAAAGATAAAATTGACCTGGAAGACCAAGGCATATATGAAGTCCCCTGTGCATCATGCCCTGCCACATACATTGGACAGACCAATAGAAGAATAAGCACCTGCCTGGATGAACACAAAAATGCAGTAAAAAAGCTGGAACACACTTCCTCACTAGTCCAACACATGAAAGCCACAGGTCATAGCATCGACTTCAATGGCAGCAAAACCCTAGCCACTATAGAAAACCCCAGCTACAGAATTATCAGAGAAGCCATAGAGATTGAACAAAAGACCTGAAAGCATGAATAGAAGAGATGACTCCACCAGACTGTCAATTATTTGGAAGCCTGCACTCACAAACAAAAAAATCTTCACACCACAAGCCAGGCAAACACCTGGGCACAAACAGACTCCCCCTGATACCTCCAGCTCAAACACACCCCAACCAGCCACCCAGATGAAACCTAGCTTCCTAATAAATGATAGCCAACTGTTTACTTGGAGCCAAGCTGCACTAAAAGCCTCCAATACAGGAAACACAACGTTCCCAGCCAATCAAGACAAAAAAAGCTACAAAATAGACAGAAGATATTAGAAACACCAATCAAGCAGAACACAGCAAACTCCAAGACCAATAAACACAGACCAAGACTCCCAACCAATCAGGATGAAGAAAAAACCATTCTAACACAGCAGTAGGCTAGCCCCAAATTTAAAACTGAAACGGCTGTGAAAGTCTGACTCACAGACAAACACAATACAGGGGCCTGATGATGGCAGATGAGATTCTGCCGAAACGTTGCTACAAGTTTAAAAGCACAACTATAATGATGTGGGAAAATCCCCGAACAAAGCTGAATGCCATATGTGTGTGTGTGTGTGTGTGTGTGTGTGTGTGTGTGTGTTTGTGTATAGATATATAGATATATAACATCCTTAGAATCTTTACTATATAATGAATTATTGCAACATCTGACATGTTAAAGGAAGAATTTGAAGGGTCTTCCATCAGTACCCACCAGTGGTGGTATTCTACCGGTTCGGCCCAGTTCAGGCAAACCGGTAGTAAAAAATGCTTGTATCTAACATCTCCATTGCCAACGCCACAAAATTTGGACAGCCTTGCTTTCTTGAAATGTAGTGGCTCTCAGAAATGTGCTTTTGCTTCCCAGCTTCTCTAAACAAGCTTATAGCATCTGCCAAAGGACCTGTGGTGGCACAGTGGTTAGAAGGTAGTATTGCAGGCTAACTCACTGCTCACTGCCAGGAGTTTGATCCTAACCGGCAATATGCTGATTCTTTAAACTGCTTAGAGAGGGCTTTAAAGCACTACGAAGTAGCATATCAGTCTAAGTGCTATTGCTATACAAGGTAAAACTTGCCATTGCAGTTGAAAGTAGGTTTCTTCCTAAGCATATTAAAAATGCTGGCTAATAATGATTACTAATATGATTGCTAATATGAAGATTCCATATATTGTTAACTGAGAAAAGTAATCTTCCATTGCTAAAACAATATGAAACAGGTCTTATCTGATAACTAATATTCTGAGTTTGGAAATAAAAAATGTAGGTTAGGTATGATATCATAATCCAGGTAAATATCAGCAGAGATCTCTTTTTGTAAACAGTTTTCAGAAGTGCAGCTAATTCAAACAAGTAGTTGATCTAGGTAGTAGCATGGAGCAGTGAACAAAAACCGAATGCAAAGACATTTAGAATTCTGAAAAAAATCATATAGCAAAAAGATTCATGCTCAGTGGTTAGCAAAAGCACTGTGTACTTAAAAGTCTTGAGCATTTTCTTGTGTTAAAAACAGCTTCAAATGCCTTCACTATGTTTGAATTTTGGCGAACCTGCTTTATTTCACAGGGGGAAAAAACAGGGATATCATTTGCATGTCTATTCATAAGTAAGCTCATTAAAGAAGAAAACCTTTGCTCAACCTTAAGTGTCTTCAGATAGGGCAGAGAAAGACCATTATCGTCTGCTTTTGAGCTAGCTGCATATAACTGATGATACAGCGTGCTGAGCTAGATGGACCAATGGGTCAGATCAGGAAAAAAAAAACACTTCCCATATTACCAGTATCTGCAGCTACTTGTATTTTTTGCCTTTCATTTTCTCTGTGAGCAAAGGATGCCTTCAGTTAACTGCCTTCTCTGCTATTTTCCATGTGGAACTTCTTAATAAGAACTGAGGTAACATGAATTTTTCTAACATGGCAAATAGAATAATATTGATATCAGAGCTACAGGGAAGCACTATGTCTTTAATTATCTCCAGAAGCAAAACATCACTGTTCCAAAAAAATCACAGAAAGGGAGGGGGAGATTGGGCTTCCTGTTACAAGGTTCTTCCTGCTACCTTCACGTAGTCCCAGATCTATTTTTCTTGGTGGCGGGGAGGGGTTCCATGCAGTTTCCCCTAATCTCTTAATGATGCATAAAATTATTTCACCTTTGCTTTGACATTTATTTATACAGCGTGCTCTATCTGAAAGATTTTCAACTAGTACTGAAGCAGAACATACAGATGAAATATAAGAAGCATCCTATCAAAAAATGCTCTTGTGCATATTAAAATCTTTCTTGCAAAGCGAGTCAAACAAGAATGTTTTTGCACTGCTTTTGAAAAGTGCCATTAGGACCAGTATACTACACCGACACACAATCACTAAGCTATCCACTTTAACTGATTTTATTTCTGTAGTCATCCTATGATTTTTATCTTTGTGATTATCTTCATCTTTGAATTATTGCCGATCAGTGTTTAGATTTATTTCATAAATTGAGGTAACTCATAATAGGAATTGCATTAATTTACTAAATGGGTGAACATGGAATTAAATGCCTAAGATTCTATCAGTGAGATCCTGAAGGACACGTTAGGTTTTGGAAGGAATTTGACTATCTAAGCACAGAGCATTTTTTGACTCTTTGTTTTGTAAAGTGAAAATTTCTATACATGCTCGATGTTAGTAGTAGATGTCACATTATATCCAGTGCAATTTATGATTTCAATCTATACTCAGAAGTCCGGAGAAGAAACTAAAGTCAAAATGCCATTTCTTCAGAGCGCATTCCCCTTTGTAAGTGATTGGAACACTTGTCTGCACTGTTTATCTGACCATAACTTATTGAGAATGGTTCTGTTCATTTGTGGGTGGGTTTCTGTATAAGTGTGTTTGTGTTGAAGTTTAACTGTGCAGATGCTAATTTGAGGGCTATATTTTGTTTTCCTGCAGGTTGCTTTTCTGAAAATGTAGCATGACCTGTAAAGAAAAAAAAAACTCCTCATCCTTTATCTGTCAAGAATTATGGAACATAAAACCTCAAGTGAAGATTGTGTTTCTCAAAGTGGTACCAACAATCCTGAATCAAAAGCTGGATATTTCAGCTCTTTGTTGACTTTGGAGTCTTCTGATGTTCAGAAAATTTGACAGAGGCAAGTTGTTCAAGCATAGTTGTAAAACCAGAGTTCAGAGAGTGAATTAATTTGAAATGTCAGGAGTCTGAGATCACTGTAACTAACATCCTACTAATTCCCCAAGGAGAAGTCAATTATCTTCTGAAACAACATCAGCTTTACAAAGGCGGCTTGATAAGTAGCTCCTTTGCCTTTTTTGAGGAATTAGGAACTGTCTGCCAGGACTAGACACTGGATATTTCAATGTCCAAATGGAAAAGTAAACTGTAACCCTTTTTGGTAAGCCGTGTTTTAACTATAATTATTTTGAGAGGCCCCGCAAAGCAAATGGGTTAAAACTGGAGTTCTCAGAATGTGAATTGGGGTTCTTCCAGTACCTTTACCACTTTCCAGTGTACAGTCTCAAGCAACCTAGAGTGTCACAATTTTGTAAAAAAAAAAAATGTAATGGCACTTGTGCAGAAAACATGAGACCACTATCAAAAGCCACTTTGAACTTTGGTGTTCTTTTGTTTGAGTGAGTCCAGGGGGAACAGTTGCTGTACCATAATCTTTAAAAATTCCTGTGATGTATAAAGTAAAATTGAATTATCAAAAGTGACAGATTTATCCTTGGCATATTCTTAACACTGATGAAGTCAATACTTTGATTTGATGGGAACACTCAACACACAAATTCATGTATCATTTTAGGGGATGACAGAGTTGAAGAGCCATTGAAATAAAAGTTGCTTTCCGTATGCATGCTTTCCAAACCAATTGATTTCTCATGAGTGAGCGATACAGCTTTAAAGAGCTGTGTATAAATGATAAGAAATAGATGAAACTGGGATGTGATGTGATGGGTGTACTCCGATGTGCCTAATTAGAAAGAATGATGGAGATGAAAAAGATTTTGTGGAGAATATTCCATCCTTAAAACTAGGCATGTTACAAAAAGGAGTGGGATGTCTCAGAACCATGCATGCTATGTGATAGATTTCTGAACATCATGTTAATATGCTTTGAATGGTTACAGGATCATGTTAATATGAACAGTTACAGGAACTGGGCATGGCTAGTCTAGTGAAGAGAAGGATCAGGGGAGACATGACGGCAGCCTTCCAATATTTGAGGGTCTGCCACAGAGAGGAAGGGGTCAAGCTATTTTCTGAACTGAACAAGGAGAGATTTAACCTGGAAATAAGGAGAAACTTTCTGACAGAACAATCAACCAATGGAACAGCTTGCCCTCGGAAGTTGTGGGAGCATCATCACTTGAGACTTTCAAGAAGAGATCGGACTGCCATCTGTCAGAAATGGTGTAGGGTCTCCTGCTTGGATGGGGTGGGGTTGGACTATATGACCTACAAGGTCCCTTCCAACTCTGATTATCTGTATCTATCTGCTTTTAAGAGTGTTCAAATTGCACTATGTGGCAGCACCTAGTCAAGGATGATACGGTTGTTACTTGGAAGAAAGACTACCATTAAAATCTCAGAACTTTGGTTAAATTGAACACTGAAAACAAACAAACAAAGCAAACTAGAAAAAGGTAGTACCAAACCATTCCCTACACTGATACTATGAAAACTACATGATTTGGGTCATGAAAAATACTGGAGTTCTATTTAAAAGAAGAAGTTGAAATTGACCTTTTAAAGTGCCTTTGTTCCTCCATACCTGACTATTAAGGGTTTTTTGTCTCTTTTTTGGATAATGAGCAGTATGAATCCATGTACTGTATATAAAAGGACTGTATGATATAGTGTGTTTTTAAATCACTTAAAATATATTGCCAATCAAGGAGCATTATCTTATTGTCTATTGTGAGGCTTGAATTCTTAGGGTTAGTTGCACAGAGGTGCCAATGCATTTTTAAATGAAACAATAAAATGCCTTATTGAATTTTCATGAAAGTGGTGTAGAATTGATCCATGTAAACATGCAATGATTTCAAGAAATAAAAACATGTACCACGGTCCTTAATACATTTACTTAATTGGCTTTCTTTTTAAATCTATAGAAATCATTAAAGACCGCATTGCTACATGTATCTTTAAATTAAGATAAATAGAATAGAATAGAAAAGAATAGGAATAGAATAGCTTTATTTGGCCAAATGTGACACACAAGGATTTCTAATTCTTCCTAATATGCACATATTGGACTATAATATGAAATAAAATATGAGAAATAAAAACTTGTTCTTAATAAATTTACTTAATTGGCTTTCTTTTAAACTCTTTATAAACCATTAAAGACAGCATTGCTATACAATATATAGCAATGCTGTCTTTAATGGTTTATAAAGAGTTTAAAAGAAAGCCAATGAATGAATGGAATGGAATAGAATAGAATAGCTTTATTTAGCCAAGTGTGATTAAACACATAAAGGATTTCTAATTCTTTCTAAAATGCACAATTGTGCAAATTAGAATAGGTATAGTTGTGGCCTGACCCTTAGATTTTTTTTGAAAAGTTTTCCTTTACTTCAGCCAGCACAACATTGACCATAACAACATTTCCCATTGCATTGACTTATTTTTTCAGGTTACCAAGCTTGGCCTTTAACAGACTTAGATTTATGTGATCCTAATAAGAGCAGAATAGGCAAAGGCCTTTATTGGAGTATTGAAAAGAAAGTAGATATAGGACAATTTGCAGTATGCTTAGCTGCAGAATGGTATTTTGCAAATAGCTGAGGAAATATACCTCAGGAACTTTATTAAGGGAGCTTTAAAAAATACATAGCATTTTAAAGGAGAAACTTGAGCTGTTATTATAGTTCATTCTTACTTTCTCTTCAAATCTTGGTTTCAGGCTGTGGCTTATAATTTGACTGTTACCCAATCTGCTCCTCAATTTATGGAGTAAGATTTCCTTTCCTATTTACAAATGGATTTGTAGCAATCTTGGCAGTTCTCAATTTATTCACCAAACAAATACTAGGAAACCCCAGTAATTCGCTATCAGACACAAAGCAAGAGGAAAAGGGTCAAATTGACTGCTTCTCATGAAGGAAACAAGTCAACTGATTTTCAGAGGAAATGTTTAAGATCATCCAGGAATCACTGCAAATTAATGTGTTCGTTGTAAAGCTAACATTGGCAATTGAGTTTTCAATAGAAGAGAAATATCTATAGCTCAGAGTTGAACCATGGCGTTCTCAGTGCACACTGAGCTTGGTTGTTTGCTTCCAGATATTTCGTTACTCAACTCGGTAACACTGTCAGTATGAGTGAGTCTGAGGTTTGCAGCCTGTTTATACATAATAGTTTGGAGTTTTCCTTGTTAAATGCACTTTTTCTTGCTAAGCATACATGTTTTTGTATGTTTATCAAATGCATACACAGAAGGGGAATGCTGTAAACCAGCCGTTTTAAACCACCAGAGACTGGTTTCAGAATAAAAAAATTGTCTTCCAGGAACTGTGGGGAATGGTTTTTGTGCACTCAACCTAGATCCCATGCATATGAAGATGAGGCTTCATTCACTTGCCCACTGGATACCAGTCCACGGCCTGTAAAATACCATCATTTGAAAGTGTTTTTTTTGTTAATGCTCTTGTTTTTTAAGAAAAATCCAGAAGTGTGGTGATAAATATTGTAAAGCTATCCTACAAATTTTATGAGTGTAGATATTTTCAGCCTGACCAATTCTTGGCCCCAAATATATTCCAGTTAATAAAATGTATTTACCTCAGACTTTGGCACATTGTCCTGTCTTCCACTGAGAAATGGTGCAGAAACATGGTTTCTCTTTAGTGGGGTGCCTTCAATTCACAATATGACAACTAGAAATCTGAAAAGTTTACCATCTGGATGGGAGAGAGAGCAGATCAGTGAGTCTTCCCTTTTTCCTCTTCCCTGTCAACTAATAGCCAGTGGATCACAGTTTTTTTTTAAAAAAAATTAAAAATATTCCAAATAAGTTCTTGAGTCAGCCGAAGCATCCACGGACACATTTTCTTATTTATGTTACTGTAGCTAGTACCATGGTTTCTTAATTCTACTTAAAATCATTAAAGATCAGCTTTTTGGTAATTTGTCAGCCTGTATCATTTGTCAGACTTAAGATGGCATAGCAACTAGTCTGAAAAAGATTTATCATGTGGATTAATTGCTGAAATTCTGTTCTCTGACTTTTCTCTGGTAACCCTTCAGGGAAGTAGCAGCATGTGGGAGATTGGGCTTTTTGTAAAAGTGATAGCCATTCCCTGCCCAGTGACTGTTGTCTTTTTTGTGGATTTAAGGCATTTTCTATTACCCCCCTCTTTTAAAATGGGAGGGGGAAGGGGCTTACATATGTATGCGCATACACGTGATAAATGTATATATGTATATACCCACGCACACACACCGTTTCACTGAAAATATGACCTACCCTGAAAGTAAGTCCTAGCTTGATTTTTACACATGTGCCCAATATAAGCCCTGTCCCCCAAATAAGCCCTAATTAAGATTCCGCCCACTCCAGAAAGCCAGGGTAAAAATTAAGCTAGGGTGGAGATGGGCAGTGGGTGGAGTTGCCCTACTATTTACCTTTGGACTGTTGTAGCCAGGCCTCGCACACCCCAACACCTGCCTTGCCGGCCCATTTCTTCTGCATCTAGCAAGGCTTTCCTGAAGGCCTCTGTGGCTGATAGCAAAGCTCTGTATTGATCCAGAGCTCTGTTATCCGCTGCAGAGACCTTCAGGAGAGCCTTGCTGGCTGCAGAAGAAGAAGTTCCTGAAGGCCTCTGACAGCGAAAAGGAGGCTGGGGACAACGCGCACAAGTGAGGTTAATCAATGGATGACTTCCCTGAAAATAAGACCTGGTGCCCTTTTTGGTAGCAAAAAAATATAAGACAGGGTTTTATTTGGGGGGAAACATGGTG